GATCTTGTGTCTTCTAACCTTGCTAAAACTTTAGTCTTTCAAATTTTCTACACAATCATGTCATAAGTGAATAAAGTCTATTGTATTTCTTCCTTTCTGAAATGTTTATCTATTTCTATCTTTCCCCATATTGTACTGGCTAGGACCTCGGATACAATGCTGAATAGAGAGGTGAGAATACACACCCTTGTTCCTACCTTAGTGGGAAATAAATTAGTCTTTTACCAGTAAATATAATGTTAGCTGTGGGATTTTTGCAGGTGCTGTCTATCACCTTCAGATAGTTCCCTTTTATTCCTAGTTTGCTGAGTTCTATCATGAAAAGATGAATTCTACTAAATGCTTTTTTCCTGCCTCTATTAAGATGATCATGTGATTTTTTTCTTTAGTCTCTTGGAAAGGTAAATTACACTAATTAATTTCTGAATTTGAATCAACCTTGCATTCATGGATTAAATTCTACTTGATTATGATATATTCCTATTTTTATATATGACAGGATTTTATTTGTTAACATATTGTTCAGAAAGTTAGTTCTATATTCATTACAGATGTTGTTTGTTATTTTCTTGTGATGGTTTTGTCTGGTTTTGGTATTATGGCAATGCCCTTCCCGTGATATAATTTAAGAAGTATTCCCTCCTCTTCTATTTTCTTGAAGAGTTTCTGTAGAGCTGCTATTCTTTTTCCGTTAACATTTGGTAGAATTACCCAGTGAGCACATGGGGCCTGTAGTTCTCTTTGTGAGAAGTTTAAGTTTTCAAATTTATAAGCATAAAGTTGTTTGTTTTATTCCCTTATTTCAATGTCTGCAGAATATTTAGTGATATGCTCTTTTTCATGCTTGATACTGGTGATTTATGTTTTCTTTTTTTCATGTCTATAGGTCTATTCATTTTACTGATCTCCAAGAAAAAGGTGTTAGTTTCATTGATTCTTTATTTTCTTCTCTTTTCAGTACCACTGATTTCTATGCTATTTCCTTCTGTTTCCTTCTTTTACGTTTAATTTGCTCTTCTCTTTATTTTCTCATGGTAGAAGTTTAATCTTTTGAGACTTTTACCTTTTTCAAATCTAAGTATTTCATGATATAAATATCCTCTATGCAATGCTTTTCCTATATTCCACAAATTTTGATATGTTGTGTTTTCATTTTTATTCAGTTCAAAACACTTTCTAATATTCCTTGTGACTTCCTGTTTGACTCAATTGTTAGGCAGTAGTGTCTTGCATAATTTTCACATATTTGGGGAATTTATGGTATCTTTATTGGATTTCTACATTCATCACATTGTGATCAGATAATGCACTGTGAATGATGTCAACTTTTTGAAATTTGTTAAAAAAATTATCTTATTGCCTAGAATATGATATTATAAAATGTTCCAAGTGCACTTGCAGGGAGTAAATATTTCGTTGTGATTCAGTGGTTCCTTTCTTTCAAGAGTCAAATCCCCTCGAATGTCTCCCTGCTTTTGGTCACTCTCAAGTGCCTGAAATATTCCTTTTTAAATATGTTCTGTCATATTTAACAATCTTATCAGTAAGAGAGCTAGTATTTTACAGTTTACCATTTCCTATAGCCACAGCTCTCAGACTTCTTGTAATGCAAGCTAAAACTTTCTCATTTTTAAGCCAGTGTGTGTTGTTTTTTGATGCTTTCAAGCAAAAAATTCCTAACTCAGGCATACACACAGTAGTTCACAATGTAAAACTGTGATGCCAAGAACATGTGAGGTGAGGGGTGGGAAACTCTGTAACTAAAACTGTTTTTGACTCAATTTGACCTGTATTAAATTAAATTAGTTGTCAATTTAACAGGAGGAGAACACACACGAGACTGTTTTGTTTACCTGTAGGTAAAACGATTTTTAAAGTGTTTCTACAGTATTTACAAATGAAGAAGGAAATAATGGAAATATTTTTACCTTTACACTCAGGAGGGTCACTACTCCATTTGTCATTCCCAGAACAAACAAGCCTGCTCTCTCCGATAAGTGAATATTCATCTGGTCCATCTGAAGGATCACAACTATAAGTTACTTCATCATTGTATGTAAATTCCTCCTGGTCCCTTCTGGTGTATTTTCCATTTTGTATTTTTGGAGGTGGACTACAAGACATCACTTAAAAAGAGAAAAAAAGAGGACATGAAAGGCAAAAGGAAAGGTAAAAGATTAAGACAGCGTTAGTAAAGTCCTATGAACTCCTTCAATAGATTCATATAACACATGATTTGTACAATCTAGTCGTGAATCCAATATCCAATTAGAAGAAGGATTCTTTGAGAAACTGTATTATCCCCAATTTAAACCATTAACATGGAAATGAACTTTCAAAATAAAACCTATTTTCTTAAATATGTATACAAAATATCTATATGAAATATCTACATTTATCTACAAGGCCATGCTACGTTTTCTTCTCATCATAAGAGATGCTGATAATATAAGGATAAAATATGCTTGTAATTAAAAATAAAACACAGTGCTACTTGAGAAATGCTTTGTAATTTATAAATATATCCATTTGTTACATCAGTAGTTCACAATACCAAGATATTATTGTCTTTTTTCACTTTCATCCTTACGAGTGTATGGTGAAATTTTCCAGAGGCTACAAATTATGTGAATATGCAACAGACTGAATCCAGATGTCATCCTTTAAGAAAGATATTGAGGGGATTTGCGATAATTTAAAACAATGCCCCTATTCTATTTGTTTTGGAAAACTGATGTTTCACAAAAATACGTTGCATGTTACCATGTATTGAGCTTACTATTCTTTTTTTTTTTTTTCCCCCAAAGCCCCAGTAGATAGTTGTATGTCATAGTTGCACATCCTTCTAGTTGCTGTATGTGGGATGCGGCCTCAGCATGGCCAGAGAAGCGGTGCGTCGGTGCGCGCCCGGGATCCGAACCCGGGCCGCCAGCAGCGGAGCGCGCGCACTTAACCTCTAAGCCACAGGGCCGGCCCAGAGCTAACTATTCTTAAAAATGAATTAACAAATAATTATTTAAAACACCTTAGTTTTGTTTTGTTTTGTTTTGAGGAAGATCAGCCCTGAGCTAACATCCATGCCAATCCTGTTTTTGCTGAGGAAGACCAGCCCTAAGCTAACATCTATTGCCAATCCTCCTCCTTTTTTTCCCTTTTTCTCCCCAAGGCCCCAGTAGATAGTTGTATGTCATAGTTGCACATCCTTCTAGTTGCTGTATGTGGGATGCTGCCTCAGCATAGCCGGACAACTGGTGCGTCAGTGCATGCCTGGGATCTGAACCTGGGCCACCAGTAGCAGAGTGCACACACTTAACTGCTAAGCTATGGGGTGGGCTCCAAAAACACCTCAGTTTTAATTCCAATATAATGAATACCAAGATAGAACCCACATAAACGAAAGCTCGTCAGGGTCTTTGTCAATTTAATAGGGGAAAGGGGTTCTGAGGCCAAACAGTGTGAGAACTGCTGCTCTAAATTCTAAAGAGAGAATACACTTACCTTGACATAATGGGGGATTGTCACTCCAATCCACATTTTCTCCAACAAGTTCACAATATAGAATGTTTTGTCCAATTAAGTTAAAACTAAAAGAAAAAAGAAAAATTGTGTTCTTTAGAGTTAAAAAGATGCAAATAATAATGAAGAAAATTTTTATATGGTTGTTTTCCTGCAAGACAGTAGTTTGAGAAGTTTCTAAAATAATGAAACTGCTAATAAAATATGTAACTTAACTAAAGAGTTTCTGCATTTGAACACACATTGGCCAAGAGGAAATAGATCTAAATGAATCTGTTATACCTGTTGGTATGGACTCTTTCCTATCTCTGGCAATCACATCACACATTCATTTCTATGTCCTCGCTCACGCCATCTGCTCAGTAAGGACAACGAGTGAGTAGAGAGAACAGGCCCTAGAGCTTGCCCGCCTGGATTCAAGTCCCAGCTCCATGACTGACTTGTTATTTGAGCTTGGGCAAGTCCCTTAATGTTTCTCTTGCTCAGGTTCCTCATCTATGAAGAGGGGATATACATACCTCAGGGGGTTGTTCTGGGGATTAGATGAGTTAGCATCTGGCACACAGTGAGTGCCAGGTAAGTTTTAGCTCTTATTAATATTCTTTAGATGAGAATATCTTTCTAGGAATAGCTCAAGAATACTATTGGATGAAATCTTCTCTGATGATTTAAATTCACAATACTCTCTCCTCCTTCTGGACTCGTACTGTAATGATCATGAATAATTCTATGTAGTTGGTACTTAACTCATTTACTATTTTGCTCTGAAACCTCTCCAGATTTACTGTGTTTCTCAAGAAGGCTACAACTTCTTTGAGAGGAGTCTCTTATTTTAAACTTGTGGTATCCTCCAAAGCGCCTAGCAGGCTCTCTCTCTAAAACCATTAAGTGGAAGTTCCAATATTTTTACTTGGTCAAGTTAAAAAATAAGTGAGACTGCCTGTACACACTTCCAGCCGACTTTTCCACCAAGTCTCACTCATTGATTCCATATTCGCATATATTAGGAGGGGATTCTGGGATGATGGCATTGTAGGAAGCACCAGGAATCTGTTTCTCACCTAGAAAACAACTGCACTGCCTGATGTAGGTATTTTGGAACTTTGGAGTCTGTTCACAGCTTGCAGTTTCCAGGGAAAGATCAGACAGGTAATCTGTCTTAATTTCAGTCAATTTCAGCTCCTAGCACAGTGGCAGCTACCCATCCCCCACCCTCAACAGGCAACTGTGCATGTGTCCCTGGAGCAGTTTAGAAGCAGCCTGTAGGAGCCTGGTTGGGCAAAAAGGATTCTGTCCTCCAATTATCGGGGATTCGTGCTCTTATCACTGATTACTGCTTCTGATCACAGGTAAACTGACAAAGGGGTTGGCAGCCAGCTGTCACACTTACCCCTACTCTTGCAAGCCCCTTCCGCGCCAGCTGAAGTGACTTTCAAGGGATTTACAGATTCAGCGCCATTTGCCGCTCCTGCATTTTGCAATTTTTCCCCTTCCAGGGACCGGACATTAAAAACTAGGACATTCAGAAACAACTGCATACACAGGGAAAATTAGAAAGTGACTATGCACACCCAGGAAAAGGCTCAGAAAAAACCTGAGAAGTCCTTCAGTTTCATGTCAGGCTGATCCTCAGCACAGAGGCACCCTACAACAACAAACAAACACACAAACAAAAAAACCAATAAAACATCAAGCCTTAGGAAAGGGGGATAATCTCTCCAGAGTTACCGCATTATTAGATTCAAAGGTCCAGTTCAATAAAAAAATCATACGGTATACAAAGGAACAGGAAGCATGCCCCATTCAAAGAAAAATTAAATCAATAGAAATCATACCTGAAAAGACCTCATGGTAGATTTACTAAACAAAGACTTTAAAATAACTGTCTTTTGCAGGTGGTCTTGGTGGCAAAACGGAGGTTTCCACTACTGTCACCCTCTTTTTCCTCATTGAGGGGATGAGCGGCAGAAATAGAGATGCAGATCTTTATGAAGACCCTGATGGGCAAGACCATCTCTCTTGAGGTTGAGCCCAGTGACACCATTGAGAATGTCAAAACCAAAATCCAAAATAAGAATGGCATCCTACCTGAGCAACAGTGTCTGATTTTTACAGGCAAACAGCTGGAGGATAGTCACAGTCTCACAGACTACAATATCCAGAAAGAAACCACCGTGTACTTGGTGCTTCACCTGTGGGGCGGCATCATGAAGCCTTTCCTCTGCCAGCTCACCCAAAACACTGCTGCTACAGGATGATCTGCAAGTATTATGCTCACCTGTACCCATGTGCAGTCAACTACTGTAACACGTGTGGCCACATCAACAACCTGTGCCCCCAAAAGAAGGTCAAATAATGCCTCTACACTGGCTCCTCCTTTGCCTGAAGGGTGGCCTCCTGACCGAGCCCCAAGGCCCTGGAGCCTCAATAAAATTTGAAAGATAAAAGAAAAAACTGTCTTAAAGATGCTCAAATAAATATCAGAAGAACTGTAGAAAGTCAAGAAAACAATGAGTCAACAAAATGGAAATATCAATTAGGAGACGGAAAACCTAAAAGAAACCAAAATTAAATAATGGAGTTGAAAAGTACCGTAACTGCAATGACAAATTCACTACAGGAATTAAAGGCAGATTTGAGCAAGCAGAAGAAAGAATCACTGAACTTGAAGATAGGAGAACAGAAATTATTGAGTCTAAGGAACAGAGAGGATTAAACAAAAGTGAACAGAGCCTAAGGTCTGTGCAGGATACCAAGAAGCAGATCAACATAAACACTGTAGGACTCTCAGGAGGAGAAAATAGAAAGAAAGGGGCAGAGAGAATAGCTGAGGAAATAATGGCTGAAAACTTGCCAACTCGGATGAAACACATGAATATAAATATCCAAAAAGCTCAACAAACTCCAAATAAGATGAACTCAAAGAGACCCACACTTAGACACATAATAACCAAACTTTCAGAAGCCAGAGACAAAGAGAGAATAATGAAAGCTACAGGAGAAAAGTGAATCATCACATCCAAAGGATTTTAAATAAGATCATCAGAAGATTGCTCATCAGAAACTTGGAAGCCATCGACAGTTGGCCAATATACTCAAAGTGCTAAAAGAAAGAAAGTGTCATGCAAAAATTCTCTGTCCAGCAAAACTGTCCTTCAAAAGTGAAGGAGAAACTCAGGCATTCTCAGATAAACAAGAGCTGACTGAGTTCGCTACCACTAGACCTCCCCTGCAAGAAATGTTCAAGGGAGTCCTGCAAGGTGAAACGAAAGTACTTGACAGTAACTCAAAGCCTTTTGGATAAATAAAGATCTCACTAATGGTAAATATATGGGCAATTATGAAAGCCAGTATTATTGTGACAATGGTCCTTAAATGCAATTTTTGTTTGCTATATGATTTGAGTCTAATCTTTTTAAATAAACTATTAGTGTAGAATCTAGTATTACAGTTATAAAGTGTAGAAGCTAGTATGACATGAAAATCTAAAAGGGGTGGGATGGATTTGTAGGGGAGCAATTTGTATAACTTATTGAAATCAAGTCGGTATAAATTCAAATTGGAGTGGTATAACTACAGGATAATCCTCATGGTAACCACAAAGAAAACAGACACAGAATATACACCAAAGAAGGTCAGAAAAAAATTTAAACATTTCAGTACAAAAATCAGCTAAACACAAAAGAAAACAGTATTACAGGAAATGAGGGACAAAAACGGCTATACGGCATACAGAAAAGAAATAGCACAATGACAGAAGTAAGTCCCTCCTTCTCAGTAATTACATTAAATATTAATGGATTAAACTCTCTAATCAAAGACAGAGCTTGGCAGAATGGATAAAAATACATGATTTAACTATACGCAGTCTACAAGAGACCCACCTGAGATCCCAAGACAAAAACAAGTTGTAAGTGAAAGGATGGAAATAGGTATTCCACAAAAATAGTAACCAAGAGAAAGCAGAGGTGGCTATACTAATATCAGAAAAAATAGACTTTAAATCCAAAAATGTACAAGAGACAGGAACATTATATATTAATAAAGGTTCAGTACTGCAAGAAGATATAACAATTATAAACATTTATGCACCCAATGACAGGCTATCAAAATATATGAAGCAAAAACTGACAGAATTGAAGGGATAAATACACATTTCTATGTAATCGGCACTTCTACAATAGTAATTAGAGACTTCAATACCCCATTCACAGTAATGAATAGAACAACTAGACAGAACATAAGTAAGGAAACAGAGGATGTGAACAACACAATAAACAAACTAGACTCACAGTCACATATAGAGTTGTCTATCCAACAACAGAATATATAAGCTTCTCAAGTGCACATGGGACATTTTCTAAGATAGACAATATGTTAGGCCACAAATTAATGTTATTAATAATACAATTAATTATATAATATATAACCTAATACATAAATAACAACTTAATTATGTACACTACCAATATTAATTAATCAATAGACTTAAAAATATAGATGTTGTAGAAAGTATTTTTTCTAACCACAATGGGATGAAATTAGAAATTAATATCAAAAAGAAAACTGGAGGGACCAGCCTGATGGTGTAGTGGTTAAGTTCGCACACTCCGCTTCGGCGGCCCGGGGTTTGCAGGTTCAGATCCCAGATGCGGAAATACGCACCAATTATAATGCCATGCTGTGGCGGCGTTCAATATAAAGAAGAGGAAGATGGGCACGGATGTTAGCCCAGGGCCAATCTTCCTCAGCAAAAACAGAAGGATTGGCAGCAGATGTTAGCTCAGGGCAAATCTTCCTCACAAAAAAAAAAAGAAAACTGGAAAATTCACAAAATTCTGAAAATTAAACAACACACATTTAAACAACCCTTGGCTCAAAGAACAAATCACAAGGAAAATTAGAAAATACTTTGAGATAAATGAAAATGAAAACATAACATACCAAAACTTATGGGATGCAGCAAAAGCAGTGCTAAGTGGGAAATGTATAGCTATAAATTCTTCCATTAAAAAATGGAGAGATCTTGGGGGCCAGCCTGGTGTCATAGCAGTTAATGGTGTCATAGCAGTTAACTGCGCACGCTCCACTGTGGGGGCCCAAGGGTTCGCAGGTTTGGATCCCAGGTGAGCACTGACACACCCCTTGGCAAGCCATGCTGTGGTGGTATCCCATATAAAGTGGAGGAAGATGGGCACAGGTGTCAGCGCAGGGCCAATCTTCCTTGGCAAAAAGAGGAGGATTTGCATCACATGTTACCTCAGGGGTGATCTTCCTCAAAAAAACAAAAAAAATTGAGAGATCTAAAATCAACCACCTAACTTTACAACTTAAGAATCTAGAAAAAGAAGAACTAAACCCAAAGGTAGCAGAAGGAAGTATACAATTATGATTAGAGCAGGAATAAACAAAACAGAGAAGAAAAAAACTAGAGAAAATCAATGAAACCAAAAGCTGGTTCTTCGAAAAGATCAACAAAATTGACAAGCTTGTAGCCAGATGGACTAAGAAAAAAGGAAAGACTCAAATTACTGAAATCAGAAATGTAAGTGGGGACATTTCTACTGATCCTACAGAAATAAAAAATATTATGAAAGTACTTTGAAAAAATTTATGCCAACAAATTGAATAACCTAGAAAAAATGGACAAATTCCTAGAAACGCAAAATCTACCAAGACTGAATCATGAAGAAATAGATAATCTGAATAGACCTATAACTAGTAAGGAGAGTGCATCAGTAATCAAAAATCTCCCAGTAAAGAAAAGCCCTGGACCTCATGGCTACACTGGAGAATTCTACCAACATTTCAAGAAAAACTAATACCACTCCTTATCTAATTTTTCCAAAAATTTGAAGAGGAGGAAATTCTTCCAAACTCAGTCTATGAGACTAGCATTACCAAGATACCAAAGCTAGACAAAGACACTACAAGAAAAGAAAGCTACAGACCAAGATCCCTAATGAACACTAACATAAAAATCCTCAAAAAAATACTGGCAAAAAATTTTGCAGCATATTCAAAGGATTTTACACCATGACAAAATGGGAGTTATTCCTTGAATGGAAAGATGGCTCAACATATGAAAATCGAACAATGTAATATGGCACATCAACAGAATAGAGGGAAAAAAACATATGATCATCTCAATTCCTGCAAAATAAGCATCTGACAAAATTCAGTATGTTTTCATGATAAAAACACTCAACAAATGAGGAACAGAAGGAAACTAACTCAAGATAATAAACACCATACATGGAAAACGCACAGCAAACATCATATTCAATGGTGAAAAGCTGAAAGCTTTTCCACTAAGATCAGGAACAAGGCAAGGATGCCTATTTTTTTCTATAGTACTGGAAGTTCTAAGAGCAATTTGGAAAGAAAAACAAAAGGCAATGGAATTGGAAAGGAAGCAGTAAAATTACCATTGTTTGCAGATGATGTGTTCTCATATGTAGAAAACTCTAAAGATTACATGTACAGACAAACACAAAAAAATTAGAACTAATAAATCAGTTCAGAAAAGTAGGAGGATACAAAGTTGATACAAAAAATCGGTTGCATTTCTATGGTGTATTACATTTACCCTCTAAACGGACAGTTTTCACAAATGCCCAGTATTCCCAATACATACTATTAAAAGAGCCCCATAGAACAAAGGTTATAATTAAGTGCTCAGTAACTCATTTTGAGATGCTTCATTCCTTTGCAACAGTCTCAAAGATAAGGTTTTCCAACTAAGAGATCTTGATCAATGTTATGGTCCAGGCTAAGCGGGGCAATTTTGGTCTGCTAACACCTTACAGTTATCTCGATACAAGAATATCTTTGGATGGCAACTCTACCTCCCATTTCCATAAGCCCTACTTCAACTCTGGGAGTTGGCCATCTTAAATACGGTGCACTTTGATGCAAAGGATAAAATAACCATGGTTACTACATTTTAATGCTTGTGATAGGCTTATTATTACATATAGTATTATATAATATTACTTTCCTTCAATTTAAATTTCTTTCTGTTAATTATACATCTTTTCCGTCTCCATAAAAAAACCAAGAGTTCTTTGGTTTCAGGTACAACTTGTCACATAGAAAGCAAAATGGAATCAACTTCATGGGAATGCTTAAGAAGAGAAGCAAAACAAAAATGGAATTCATAACATGTACCTAATTTCCTCTAAGGAGCAACTTACTTACCCCTCATTACAAACATAGTGAATCTGTGAACCAAACTCCAAAGTTCCATTTACATATTTGACTTGGCCATTTGTGGGTTCTCCTGGATGTCGACATAATTTTCCTAAAAGATAATTTTCAAGTTCATTGTTTTATACGAATTTCAAGACAGATTTGAATCAACATCAAAATTCTACATTGTTCTTTTGAATTAATGGGACTATTATTTATTTTCTTTAACTATATAAGGCCAGACTTAAGATTCACATGTCCCTAGGCAACCAACTACCCAGAAAATGATTCCCTGGAGATTTTTAAAGCCGGAAAAAATACATTGCTCTCTAAAAACTACATTCACATAAGAAAACCATGAGTGTAGCAGTGGAATATGCACCATAAAATGTGTGAATATCTGTAGAGCAACAAAAAATAACATAAAAAGTTTTGTTTGCTTACTTGTACAAGCCTCCTGGAGAGGCGTCCATGTGCTATCAGACTGACAGACAGCAGAGGTGGCAAGAGGAGGTCTCTTGAGCTTGTATCCTAGACGACACTCATATTCTATTGTGTCCCCAGGATTATAAGTGGCTTGAGCGACACCCCTCAGCCTCATAGAATTGAATCTTGGTGGATCATCACAGGCATCTAGGAAGAAGAGAATAAGAACATGAAAATAAAGTACTTTATCTCTTTCACGAGACTGGCAGCAGGTAGGTAGTACAGAATAAATGGAAAGGTTCTTGGCAAGACATTAAATGATTGTCCCAGGCTTTTACCCAACTGGTGATAATTGTGGAGGATGTCTCTTGCTCATTTTAAATAACATCCCATTAGCTTTTGGTTTGTTGGGGAATAAGGTGAATTTCCATTCAACAGTAAATTGAAGAGACAATATCAATGGTTTTGGTTTTAAAATATATTTATAGGTACGCATCCTTCTCCACTTTTCCTAAATTCATTCTAAAACTCACCGCTCCTCTAAGAAGTCTTCTATAGTATGTAACACTCTGCTGAGATTACTCTTCCATAGATGGAAACACAAACTCATGATCACTTGTCACTTTGGGCTCAGTCTCCTCTCAGAAGGCAAGTTCCTAGAGGTCAGGGACCACACGCCTTCTTTTTCTACTACACCCTGTACCCAGCGGGTGCTCACTAAATGCTACGGTAAGAGGCAATGATGAAATGAGCATCGTGGATTTCATGGATCAAAACGAATATGGACTGAAGTATTTCAAAATATAAGAACTCATTTCATGTTAGTGAATTGAATATTTTTTAAGTGAACAGATGCCATGTAAATATCAAAATGTACTACTTTGATAGCCTTACATGTAAAAAATTTTGTTTTCTTGGACATTATTTTATATAATTTAAACTTCCTTTACTGATCTATGGATCATGCATTCCCTCAGAATCTCCTTGAGGTGCCTGTTTGAGCTGTTTATCCAATATATCCCTACAGTAAAGCTACTATATTGCTATGCTTTTAGATGAATTTTTTACTTCTTGATTTTTTTCCGGGGGCAGCGGGATTTTTTCTCCTTAGAATAATGTCATTTCTACTTCAGCAATTCCTCACACTGCAACTAGAATAATATTGATATGATACAATGACCAACCCTCTTCCAAGTCAGATGCTTGTCAATGGCCCCCCATTGCCCTCAAGATAATGTCTAAGCCTCCCTAACACGGCTAACAGACTTTTAAAACCTGTCACTTTCAGGACGCTGCTCACTCTTGCACACTATTCTCAAGCCATATTCCATTCCACGTAGTGCCCATTAAGTTACTTGAAGGACATTAGCACTCTTGGCCTCCATGTACCATTTTACTCCAGCTTTGGCCAGAGACCCTGCCATTCCTCCCACCCCACTCAGCCATCAGTTTCATCCTAGACGCCACTTCTTCCTTGAACCTCCTGACAACTCTCAATCAAAAAACTGGGCTAAGTGTCCTCATGCTGCCCTAACTTACTTCTTTCATAGCACTTTTCATATTGTAATTCTTTACTGTTGACACTCCTTGCTAGACTGTCACCTTCTTGAGGACCATGTCTCACTCATCACTGCCATTTCTAGGACGTCGGGTGAGAGCTGACTGAGCACGGGTATCAGTTCTATACACTCTAATGGCCAAATTCAAATTCTTTACTGGTCTGCCAACCTGATCCAGAGGAATCTGCAAACCATGACTTTTTTCTTTGCTGTTTTTATGCCTGTCTTCAATTTTATTTCATTGGTTTAGTTACAGCAAAATCCCTCTATCTGAGTTTTATATTTCTTTCATGTCAAAATATTTATTATTTTATCATAAACCCGTTCTTCATTACTGCTATTATATGAAATGGTATTTTAACATTACCAAAGGTAAACTCCAAATATTGTGGGTTATATTTTTGCCTAAAGTATGGTAATGCAAGATTCCAGTAGTTGGTTCTTACAACAATAGTGATGACAGTAATAATTTTAGAAATAGCAAATTTAAGCACTACTTGTGCCAACCATATTTTAAGTGCTTTTAAACTAACTTAATCTTCATAATCATCCTATGAGTTGAGATTACTCTTCCATAATAGTTCCACAGGTACTATTTCCCCCTCCTTAAGATGAGCAAACTGAGGCACAGTAAGTGAAGTAACTTGCCCAAGAAACATTCCCAGTAGGTAGTAGAAGCAGGAGTCAAGCCAGGCAGCCTGGTTCCACTACCAACACTGCTTCCCGTCGCGGCCTCTCATCTGGAACCCTCGCGTGCTAACACCAACACACTCTGTCTGCAAGTTAGTCCTCAAGAAATGGTCTTCAACTGAGCCTGGGAAATTAAAGCAACCCTAGTCTAGATTTGTGTTGTGCTAAGTCAAACAGAAGGGCTCCAGGAGCCCTAAAAGGACAGGTAATAACATCGTGTCTGAATTTTATGATGGTGATTGTTCATTCCTGACTATCCTGCTGCTTTTCACAATTATTCACTCTGTGATCTAGTCCTCTCCTTTCTCTCGCCTCCTTGGCCCTACTGCTGCTGCACTGGGTAGCTTGGCAGTCCACAAATCCCTGAACCTTGACACATCTCTGAGTCTTTGCTCACACTGCTCCCTCTGCTTGGAACACCCTTCCTCCCTGCTCAGCAGCAACTCCTGCTCAACTGTCATCTTCTGGAGATGAAGATAATCATCTTAAAGCTTTATGCACTGGAGAGAGATTTGGCTACATAATTTCTTTTGTTGCCCATCTCCCAGGATTCTGGTAATTTAGCAATTGACCAGATAAGGACTGCTCTCTTTGCACTGTAATATGCAGAGGAAGGAAACTAGGTAACTACTGTGTAAGCACTTATTGATCTTGGCTTCTTCATTGGCAAGAAAAAAGACCTAAAGTAGACAGGAAAAACCATCCATTATAGGAAATTGTGGCTTTTGTCCTTCTGCAGGAGTGAGACTGCTCCCAAAAGTCGACAAATGTTCCCTTCTGCGACCTCGTAACATTTGGCAACTACCTCTGAGATGACAAGCCTCCCAGGCACGACAGTGTCTGCTTACAAAACCTTCTCCTCATAAGCAGCTTTTAAAGTGAAATGTTTATTTTATCCGCATACTTCCCTGCCCAGCATAGTGAATTCTCATTTTACTCCTCTAATTCTCATACATCTCCTGATTTTACCTTTCAACCTTAACCTTAACCCTGTTTTTCCTCCTCTTCATTTCTAGTTTTGTTACCTTCCATGATGTGTCCATGATGCGTCCTATTCATTTCATTTATCTATTTTCCTCTATTTTAAATAGCTTTCAGAGTCTCCTTAAACTCCTAGCTTTAAGCCTATTCTAAAAATTATTCTTCTTTAAAAATTCCTTTTGTTTTCTTTTTACCACCACTGTTCCACCATCCACCCCCTCCTACATAGAAACAAGGTTTTTAATGATCTGTAACAAACAAGACTGGGATACTGTGAGCCCTGGAGAGTCTACTAACAGGGAAGACAGAGCCTCTCTGACCTCAGCTGTCCCAGCCTCAGCTTTTTAGGCACCACAGAAAGGCCATCCTAAGCATGGCGCTTTAAAGAACCTTCCCCCTGGAGGAATATCAGCCTGAGCTCTAAGCCCCCACTGAACAGTATATTCACTTTTCTGGTATTTAATAGTAATAAAAGAGTGTTGATATAGAGGCAAAAACAGTGGGCATTTGGAACCACAAGTGTGACAGACAAGATCTCTGCATTCTAGTGTGGAAAAAACAGAAAACATAGTTTTGGAAGGGTGACTACAAGTTAGGAGGAGTTTAAGCTGGAGTGTGTGTGGGTGTCTACCCGAGACAGGGTGGTCAGAGAAGGTCCCTCTGAGGGGGTAGCATCTCAAATGAATTTGAAGAATAACAAGGAGCCACTTATGCAAGAGGCAGGAGGAGAGTGTTCCAAGGCTGAGGGAATACAAGTGCAGAAGCCCCAAAGTGGCAGAGTCGGCCTGTGTGATGAGCAGAAAAGTCTTCCCTGCCTCCAGTCACTTGTTAACTGCTCTCAGAGACTCATGCTCCTTTCCTCCAGAGCACATCTCTTGGGTTATAACATATTCATTAGTATTATGTTTTGGTAATTGTCTGCCACTCACAATAAATTTTAGCAACTATTTCTTGATTACCTACTGGGGATCTAACAATGAGCAAAACACAGTCCCTGCTTACATTCGTGTGTGTGTGTGTGTGTGTGTGTTTGTGTGTGTGTGCAAACAGACAAATAAAGAATGAAGCATACAAACAGTATATGTCAGAGGACGCTGAAAATAACTTGGGCATAGCAACACACCTGCATACAAAGACACAGGAAATATACCACAGTATTAAAAATGGCTGTCCTTTAATTGTGTAAGTTTTATACAATAACATGTCTTTTTTACCATACATATTTTTAAAGTACTTATTTCCATTCAATGAAACATGAAACAAACTTAGTAGATGGGCTTTCAGCTAGAGTTTTTGAGCTGAAGGGGAAAACCAGATTAATACTATATATCGTTCATCTCTTAGGATAATTATTTCTTACTAGGTTTGGCTACCAATGTTTTTGAGGTTAGTTCTGATTCCCCTTAAATATGATCCAACCTAATGAAAAGAAGGGAACAATGTCAAAAAGCCATTTGGTAATAGAACTGGATACTGTCTGTACTGGATGGGCACAGGAAGATAACTACATGGCGCAAAAAGCAACAGCCTGCAAATGGATACCAATAAGATCATGGGCAACAAGGAGCCTGTGAACGTCAGGTACAAAAGCATGGCGCACCCTTCCCAAACCCTCTAAACCCCAGGCCCCCAGAGCCTGCTCTCACCCCAGCGCTACGGGCACACCAGGCACTTCCCAGCCCCCTTACAAAGCGAGCAGTGAGCCTCCTTGCCCCACACTCGGCACCGCGGGGCTGGCCACTTCCATAAAGCACACACCCGAGAACACCCGCCGGGGCTTCCGCAGCCCAGCCCAGCGGGGCACCAACACCCCTCTCAACAAGGCACCACCCTGCCCAGGGAACAAGGGCAAACCCTCCCCACGGGCACAGCCCGAGTCCTAGCAACACCCCCGCGCACCCGGGCACTCAAGAGCAAGCCCTCGCCGCTAGCAGCGGTCCGCGCGCCCATCCCGACTTGGCTCAGCGCGGCCACCGCCCTGCAAGCTTTGGCCAGGGACGCGGCTTGGCCCCGGTAAACGCCGGCCGCACCCACCACCCCGCCCCGCTCAGTGCCGACCACCAAGCACGCCTCCGCC